TTCCTCACCTTTCTTATCATCAGTGATACCCCACGAGGTGAGATCTTGCATGGAGCCCCAGTCCGAGGGAGACTGACAGTCGTCTTTAGCCTCTTCCATTTTCTAACAATTGCTCCAACAGTTGATCTATTTTCACCAAGCTGCTTGGCAATTGCCCCGTAGCCCTTTCCAGCCTTGTGGAGGTCCACAATTTTGTCTCTGGTGTTTTGACAGCTCTTTAGTCTTGCCCATGGTAGTAGTTGGCGTCTGACTGACTGTGGGGTGGACAGGTGTCTTTAAAGAGCTCAGACAGGTGCTACTAAGTTAGATTAATGAGTGGAGTAGAGGTGGACTTTTTAAAGGCACAGTAACAGGTCTTTGAGAGCCAGAATTCTTGCTGTTTCTTAGGTGTTCAAATACTTATGTTCAGCAGTGCAAGACAAATAAATTCTTTAAAAATCATACAATGTGATTTCCTGAATTTTTTTTTAAATTTTGTCTCTCAGAGTGGGAATGCGCCTACAATGTGAATTTCAGACCCCTCCATGATTTCTAAGTGGGAGAACTTGCAAAATCGCAGGGTGTTCAAATGCTTCTGTTCCTCACTGTATGTCAGCCCCTATGGCACTGATCACATGACCAAAAGTCAAAGGGGTGTAAAGGGCTGACAATCAGGCTGATCCTGCGAGTCAGTGTCTCTGCCTGAATGCTAAGGTACATTTACATGAGCATCTAAACTGCCAAGCCTCCAAAAAGTGATATGCATTCAGATTGCTTTTCAGAGGTGTTTGACAGGTGCCAAAGAGAATCCTTCTGCTGGGGACTACAAATGGTCATTTCAGCACACATCGGGGTTTATTTACTAAAGCTGCTTCACTCAGAATCTGGTGCAGCTGTGCATGGGAGCCAATCAGCTTCAACTTCAGCTTGTTCAATGAAGCTTTAGCAATAAAACCTGGAAGCTGATTGGTTTCTGTGTAGAACTGCACGAGATTCTGAGTGAACCAGCTTTAGTAAATAAACCCCATTATGTGTACACTGGGGGCGCACGGCACCGCGATCCAGCGCCCGCTGTGTCCTCTGGACACCAATCGCTGTACAGGACCTCTGTGTGAGGTCTTCATTCACGTGATCACTGATTGGCCAATCAGTGATCACATGAAAAGTAGTAAGCAAGATGTCAATTCCTGACATCATTGCTTACTACGTGTGAAATCTGTGAATGATCACAGAGGTCACATGGTACAAGGCTATTCACAACAGCCTTGTACCATGTGACAAGCTGTGACCAATCACAGCTCACTCAGTACTTCTCAATGGCTGCAAGAATGCATCCAGAGAGAAGGAGAAATGATTGCTTTTACAGCCTTTATGGGTGTTAAAGCAATCAGTGTAAAAAACTTCATCACCCCCAAGTAGCACAGTGTCACTATGGTGACACTGTACTGCTAGGGTGACGGTATGTTAAAAAAAAATAATATAAAAAAAAAATTTTTTTCAAAAATTTTAAGTTTTGGGTATAAACTAACTTGGATTATTTTTTTTTTTTAGTAAAAAGATAGCTGAATACATTTTGGCCAAGATTTATGAAGAAAGATTATTTATTTGCAAAATTGTATAAGAAAAAAACTTTTTTTCCCAACATGTATGGACTTTTTCATTTCTATAGCCAAAAAATAAAAATCCCAGCGGTGAATAAAAACCACCAAAATAAAGTTTGAGATGTCTAAAAAAAAAAGCAAAAAAATTTATATGGGCACAGTGTTGCATGACTGCGCAATTGTCATTCAAAATGTGATAGCTGAAAATTGGCCTGGACAGGAAGGGGGTGAAAGTGTCAGGACTTGAAGTGGTTATCATACACACCCGCAGCGGTTCATATGATGCGGAATTTGCACAGAAAACGCTGCGAATTCCGCGCCGCATCCATGTGAACTAGGGCTGACTCTGCACTGGCAATGGCTTCACTAGCAGCCCATCCATTTCTACCAGGACAGTCATCGGTAAGAAGCGGAATCTCTCGCTAAATTAAAACGATTACAATCTCACGCCTATCGAATTTTGCATCAAATTTTAACGCGTCTGAAAATGCAACATATTCTACCGCATTCAAAAAGGCAGAGGGGGGAAAAAAAATCAATGAAGATCTGAAAGTGCAGATGATCAGATTAGTAAAAGACAGGTGAAGGGGCAGACAGTCCGACAACGGGGCCATGCACACTGGTCTGCACCACCCGGGCTGGAATGAAGAATGCGGGAGGACTGTTCAGTGTGCTGGCATTGCTGGGCCGGGGGGGGGGGTCACTTCTGACCTGTAGTCCTATCCGAGGTATAAATGTTCCAATCTCATTGTACGATCTCCTTACAGGTCCACACGAGTTGTGTTCAGAAGTGGATTCATTCTGAGTAGGCTGTGATTACACTGCAATGCACAGATCCTGCTCAGTTTTTCAAAATGAAATGCAGCGCACTGTGTATATGTGCATTGGGGTGCAATTCTAGGGAACGCTCATCAACAGTCATACAAGTACCGGTCCATACGTTTATATGTCTTTACAATGAATCCCTATTGAATGGTCAAGAAAACCCATTCTGTATTCCTTGCCTTTCAGCTTCTCTGCTCCTCCCCTGATAGAAGCCCAAATTTGTGGGTGTTACTAATGTTGAGCTCAGCTTAATTAGTTGCTGGGGAACAGGCGGCCGGGTCACACAATGTCATTAATTGTTATGGTGCAGGCGGCCAAGCTGCCTAAACCAAAGAAATGCATGATGCTGCCTGCATCCTAGCAACCAATGATGCCATGTGTGGCCCAGACACCTGTGCCCTAACAATGAAAGATGCTCTTCTGCCCATTCTGCATCCTAGCAACCAAGAATGCCATGTGGCCCAGCCACCTGTGCCCTAGCAATGAATGGCACTCTTCAGCCCAGTCTGCATCCTATCAATCAATGAGGCCATGTGTCCCAACTGCCTGTGCCCTAGCAATGATAGATGCTCCTCTACCCATTCTGTATCCTAGCAACCAATGATGCCATGTGGCCCAGACACCTGTGCCCTAGCAATGGTAAATGCTCCTCTACCCATTCTGCATCCTAGCAACCAATGATGCCATGTGTCCCAGACACCTGTGCCCCAGTAATGAAAGATGCTCTTCTGCCCATTCTGCATCCTAGCAACCAATGATGCAGTGTGGCCCAGCCACCTGTGCCCTAGCAATGAAAGGCGCTCTTCAGCCCAGTCTGCATCCTAGCAACCAATAATGCCATGTGGCCCAGCCGCTTATGCCCTAGCAATGAAAGATTCTCATCACTGGGGATGAATCGATGACACGGATGGATCTTTCTCATTGTAGACTGCCAATACCAAGACCATCCACTCAGGGCATAAACATGCACGCTTGGCTGGGGAAGTTGTAGCACCTGGTTATGCTACCAGCTCACTGCAAAACAAAAGTCAGCTCCTCGGCAACCCCCACACCCTCCCAAATTTACATCTACTGGCGCTATGACACCCCCAGCCCACTGCAGATTAATTGTCTTCCGGCCCCCAATTTACATCCAACGGCACCAGCTCTTCTGCCGCCCCCCCCCCCGTTTATGTCTTTGGGAACCGGGAACAAGCTCACCGCAGTTTGACTGTCAACTTGTGCAGACGTTTTTGGGACCTCAACCAACTCCCTCACCCCCCTGCTTCGGTTTCAACGCCGGGGATGGATTTATTTCAAAGTAGACTGCCAATACTGGGACCCTCCGCTCAGGACATAAACATGCACGCTCAGCTGGGGAACTTGGTTACACCACCAGCTCACCGTGGACCAATCGTCAGCTCTTCTGCCTCCCAATGTTACATCTACTAGCATTGTGACATCACCAGCTCTTACTGTGGATTGTCAGCTCTTTTGCGCCCCCCAATTTATGTCTACAGGCACTGTGACACCACAAGCTCACCGCAGAACGAGCGTCAGCTCTTCTGTCCCCTCCCATTTATGTCTACACTGCCCCCCCCCCCCCCATTTATGTCTACACTGTGACACAAGTTCACAGATTGACAGATTGATTGTCAGCTTGTGCAGATGTTTTTGGGACCCAAAACATCTCCCTCCCCCAGTTTCACTACCGGGGATGAACTAATGACAGGGGATGGATGTCTCAATGTAGACTGCCAATACCGGGACCCTCCGCTCAGCTGGAGACATTGCACCTGGTTATACCTCCAGCTCACCGCAGAACGATTGTCAGCTCTTCTGCCCCCCAATTTACGTCTACAGGCATCGTGACACCATCAGCTCACCGTAGTTCGATTGTCAGCTCGTTGACATGTCTATGGGTCCCCAACCATCGCCCTCCTCCCCTATCCCCACTCCTAAACGCTGGGGACGAGTCGATGACACAAGATGGATTTTTGTCATCGTAGAAAGTGAACACTGCAACCCTCCGCTCGTGGCATAAACATGCACACTTGGCCGGAGAAGTCGTACCCCGTTACACCTCCAGCTCACTGGAGATCAATTGTAAGCTCTTTTGCCCCCAATTTACATCTACAGGCACTGTCATGCCGCGCATTCAGCGCAGATCGATCGTCAGCTCTTCTGCCTACAATTTACGTCTACAGGCACCGTCATGCCGCGCGTTCAGCGCAGATCGATCGTCAGCTCTTTCTACGTCTACAGGCACCGTCATGCCGCGCGTTCAGCGCAGATCGATCGTCAGCTCTTCTACGTCTACAGGCTCCGTCATGCCGCGCGTTCACGCAGATCGATCGTCAGCTCTTCTACGTCTCCTCCACGTGACTCTGGGACCCCAACCATCGCCCTCCACCCCACCCACGCTCTTTTTCTCAGCGCCGGGGCGAATCGAGGACACGGTTTGGATTTTTCTCGCCGTAGAAGGCCAGCGCCCGCTCAGGACATAAACATGCTCGCTCGGCTTTGGAATTCGCACCCGGTTACGCCAAAAAACGATGGCCAACGCCACGGCTCAACGGATCGCCTGCTGGCGCTCGCCCCCGGACCCCGTCTCACCGATTTGACCGATGAACTCGATCTTCAGGCCCTGGTGCTCCAGCCTCTTCCCCGGGCTCCTCAGGCTGACGGTGACCCGGCCGGACACGGTCTCCCCATCATAGAAGAGGAAATATTTATCCTTCTTGCCGTCCTCCGTCTTGTGCTCCACCCGCCGGCGGCTCTCCGCATCGCTCAGGGTGACGTCCAACTCGGCGGACGGGCCGAAGCCGAAGAAGCTCATGGCGGAGTCCGGCCCCGGCGATCGGGAACACTGACAGCTCTGCACCGATTTCCCCCGGAGCCCCCCTGCTCGCCGCTGCTGCCCTGTTCCGTAGACTGCGCATGCGCCGATCCTGCACAGGGCTGACGGGGAACGCATGGCGCGCATGCGTGAGGGGACCAACATGCCAGGAGCAAACATGGAGGCCAGGGAGCCAAAAATACGCATGCGTACAAAGGCGGAGCTCCGCTGTCTCGATGTCCTCGGGCTGCCTCCATATTGCTTAGTGGCAACTGCCATGTTTAAAAAGGGAAACTGGCCAAAAAGCAACATGGCGGCTGTAGGTTCAGGGCGGGATACCGGCGCTGACCGATGACGTTGTGAAGGGAAGAGCGCTGGTTGGTGGGTTTGTGTTTGGTTTTGGCGCTGCCCTTCCAACGAAGGAGAGGAGACAGCGGGGACCGGCTGATGGCTGACAAGGAGGCGGCGGTGCTGGAGGCCTTGGGCCGCTTCGGTCTGCGGAGCCTGAGGAGAGGTGAGCACGGGGGGTGTGCTGTGTTTATAGTTCCACCATGGAAATGGAATGGAGTGTTTCCCCCACCTCCCGATGGTTTTGTGTACACAGCATTGCAATCCCTGCATTGGTGGGGGGTTCCCCCTCTGGTGGCAGCCTTGGCACGGTGAGGGGGTTTCCCCTCTGGTGGCGGCCTTGGCACGGTGAGGGGGTTCCCCCTCTGGTGGCGGCCTTGGCACGGTGAGGGGGTTCCCCCCCCCCTCTGGCGGCGGCCTTGGCACGGGGGGGGGGTTTCCCCCCCCTCTGGCGGCGGCCTTCGGCGGGGGGGGGTTTCCCCCCCCTCTGGCGGCGGCCTCGGCACGGTGGGGGGTTTCCCCCTCTGGCGGCGGCCTCGGCGGGGGGGGGTTTTCCCCCCCCTCTGCACGGGTGACGGCGGGGGGGGTTCCCCCCCTCTGGCGGCGGCCTTTGCACGGTGGGGGGTTCCCCCCCCTCTGGCGGCGGCCTTTGCACGGGGGGGGGGTTCCCCCTCTGGCGGCGGCCTTAGCACGGCGGGGGGGGTTTCCCCCCCCCGGCGGCGGCCTTGGCACGGACGGGGGGGGGGGGGGTTTCCCCCCCTCTGGCGGCGGCCTCGGCACGGCGGGGGGGGGTTTCCCCCCCTCTGGCGGCGGCTTTCGGCACGGCGGGGGGGGGTTTCCCCCCCCCTCTGGCGGCGGCTTTCGGCACGGGTGGGGGGGTTTCCCCCCCTCTGGCGGCGGCCTTGGCACGGCGGGGTGGGGAGGTTCCCCCTCTGGCGGCGGCCTTGGGCGTGGGGGTTTCCCCCCCTCTGGCGGCGGCCTCGGCCCCCCTTGGCGGCACGGGGGGGTTTCCCCCCCTCTGGCGGCGGCCTTGGCACGGTGGCGGGGTTCCCCCCCCTCTGGCGGCGGCCTCGGCGGGGCCCCGGTGGGGGCGGGGTTTCCCCCCCTCTGGCGGCGGCCTCGGCGGGGCTCTGGCGCGGTGGGGTTTCCCCCCTCTGGCGGCGGCCTCGGCACGGGGGGTCCCCCCCCTCTGGCGGCGGCCTCGGCGGGGGTTTCCCCCCCTTCGCGCGGCCTCGGCGGGGGGGGGTTTCCCCCCCTCTGGCGGCGGCCTCGGCTCGGCGGGGGGGGGTTTCCCCCCCTCTGGCGGCGGCCTCGGCGCGGGGGGGGTTTCCCCCCCTCTGGCGGCGGCCTCGGCGCGGGGGGGGGTTTCCCCCCCTCTGGCGGCGGCCTCGGCGCGGCGGGGGGGTGGTTTCCCCCCCCTGGCGGCGGCCTCGGCGGCGGGGGGGTGGTTTCCCCCCCTCTGGCGGCGGCCTCGGCGCGGGGGGGGGGTTTCGCCCCCCTGGCGGCGGCCTCGGCGCGGGGGGGGGTTTCGCCCCCTCTGGCGGCGGCCTCGGCGGGGGGGGGTTTCCCCCCCTCTGGCGGCGGCCTCGGCACGGCGGGGGGGTGGTTCCCCCCCCCCCCCCCCCTCGGGGGGCGGCCACGGCACGGTGGGGGTGTTTCCCCCCCTCTGGCGGCGGCCACGGCACGGTGGGGAACCCACCATGCCAGGACTTCTGGCAGTGCCACCATAGGGTGGGGAATCCCTCTCTGGTAGCATTGTCAGAGTGGGGGAGGGGGGTGGCGGGAGCTCTCTCTGCCTGCAGACCCAGAATGATTGCTTAGCTTTTTTTTCATAGCCTTTGCAGGAAATCTGATTTTATCTTCTGCTTTCAGCATGGGTGGATTCTGTCTGGGAGCTGGAATTTACTGAGACGGAGCCTCTGGATCCAA